GTCGGGGGAGGACACCTTTCGGTTGCCTCGAGGAAATGAGTTGGCAAGCCAATGTTGCCGAGTGCCCCGAGATGGCCGGTTGAGGAGGGAGCGAAGCAATCCATTGCGGCTGGATGAATATGTGACATTGGGGGATGACGAGACGGAAGAGAAAGAGGTAGAGCCGAGAGGAAGAGAGGCCGACAAGGGCTGCCGATTGTTGCCGTCAAAACTTGCCATGATGGGCGGGGCACAACCGACGCTAGGAGAGTTTGCAGAAGAGACAAGAAGACGGTACAGTGGAAGCGGCAGATGACGCTTCCACCGGGGAGGGCGTTTGTAAGAGGGCAAAGAGGATTGGCCTGAAAGGAGAGCAGGTAAATATAAATAAAGTGTAACCATATAACTATTGTTTGCTAAGATCATGAATATGAAGACCAAAATGGCGTGATTTTTGAGAACATTTCGAATGAGAAATTGATTGGAAATAATCTTATCGGAGGAAGATTGTCACGTAGGGAAGACGGTTGCGGTTAAGATGAAGCTGTGCTAAGCCTTCGACTGTACCACCATACTTACCAAATAGAACAAAATATACTAAACTAAGAGAAAAAGTAGCTGGTTGCAACCCTAATCCATTTTTATTACGCCTATCTTTACAGCACATGACTTGGCTGGATAGCTCAAACTTACTCACATGCTTACAGAAGAATGAAGCTAATCCAAGTGGATACGGTGGTAGCCATTTCCCTACACAAATAAAATGGCGTATGATTCTCTAATGCTGATTCATGCTTGGGCCTGTGCTATTATCTATTGTGTGTGTATGCAATCTTCATGTCATGAGAAGTGTGATAGTCACAGCTAGAGTCGAAGCTAATCCAGCCTCCCCTTGTTTATTGGCTCTTTGTGCTCTCCTTCTCCTTAGGCCTATCCAGCAGCCACAAACAGTTCCTACTTATTCTTCCACACTCGTTATTCCTATTCAGGATGTTGGTTATTTTGTTGATTTCTATAGGCTCCATAATCTTACGCTTTGATGTCAAGTCTTCGTAACCGACAGCACGTCGTGTTAAGGATCAGTCTATTAGGTGTTCTGTATTGGCACAATGTGTTCAGCGAGCTCAGATTTTTGGACCCGCAGAACTTTACAAACGGTTTTGCGAAATCTCTTCTGGATTGGTCGGCAGGTCTCCCACACACATTCATTACCCCCTGAGCAAAAACCTTGTAACAATCGGAGTTTTTCTTCTTATCTTTGGCAAGGCCTTTAGTTAGGCAGTAGTCCATTTTGGCTGCATATTCTTGGTTTAATTTGGTCTTTTCAAGTTGGTCAGAGCGACGGCGAGACTTTGTGGAATCTATCTCAGAAGTTGCCAGCGCTAATAGTGAAATGGAATATTTGTACAATCCATAAGAAAAGGACAACCATCTTAACCAGCTTGCCCACACAACATGAAGAAATCAACAAAATGAAGTGATCCGAAGTGTATAAAACGAGCTGCAGGGATTGTAAACAAAAATGCATCAGAGAGACTGGAAGGACAATCAGCACAAATATCAAAGAACACCAGCGACTATGCAGAAAAATGGATAAGGAAAGGTCGGAGATAGCTGAACACATCGCCATTACCGGCCACACAATCGACTGGAATGCAACGGAAAGACTGGCCTCATAAGGGGAAAACATCAGGAAGGCTGTGGACATCCTCTTCCAAAGAGACCTGATGAACAGAAGATTAAAAGAGGGACGGGTCAGCGATAATTTCGCGTACTGCTTAGGCAGATTGGGAGATAGAGCGAGGACAGCAAAAAGAAGACGCTTGGACAAAGAGCCATTGTTTAACAACAGGAAGGGACATCTCCGAGAAAAGCATCATGCGGAACAATGGGGAGTCGAGAAAAGAGGATTAGGGTATGGGTCAAGCGTGGAATCAGCCGAAAAGTTCTCGGTCTGGGTCCATCTGTGGATTGGGGGAGAGGAAATTAAAGTTTTGAAGCATGCAGATTATGCACCATTGGAGGTGCTAGGATAACGATGTAGGTTCCTATAAAGTTCATCAGGGTGTAGAAAACCGAACTGCGGAGCACAATATCAATTGGTTCCATCTTGTCTCGAATAATGAGTGGTAACTAAATCAGGGATCAGAAAACCAGGTAAAAGATTCCTTGGATCTGATTGCAAAAAGTGGAAGTAATATTCACCACAATATACGAAGAATAAATAGGTTTCGATGAATCTCCTGAGATAGCATTGGTGGGAAGATCTTCATTACGTATGAAAGTGCATGGAGAAGTGATTCATAAGTTGATTTCACCAGAAAACGACGGATGAATATGGCTGTACTGCAGCCGTCTGGCTTTAATATGATGCCCAGGTTGGCGCAGTCCGCGAGACCTCCTTCCTCGTTTTGGTTAAAAATGGGCTGAGCTTTCGTCCATCATTCGATGGACATCATCAGAGCTGGGTCTCATTTCTGTAAAAGTATCACGTAAACGCTAGGTCAGGACGACTATCCGGCTCTATCTTACCTCTTTCATACTGGTCCTGCTAATTTGCTCGTGTGTGTGTTAACGTCGATACGTAATACCGGTTCTAAATCAGAGTAAACAAAAAAGACTAATGCCAGGCCCTGGTCATCAAGGCTTAATGGTCCAGTAAAAACCTCTAACCCAGACTAAGCAAGTATGGTTGAGATAATGAAATGTAAGCCTGTAAGCATGCAAGTCAATTTACGAAAGTAACTGTCATAGCCTACCAGTCTAGGGGCATTAGGGTTTAGCCACCAAAAGTAAGG